TCAACCACCAAAAAAACAGTATTCATCTTTGCCTGATGATGCAGGAGTGGCACCATGCCGAGAAGGGCGCCAAGTTGCCGGGGCCCTGGCTGAACATTAGGGTTTAGGGTTTAAGGGCTTAGGGTTTAAGGGTTAGGGTTTTAGGGTTTAGGGTTCAGGGTTTTAGGGTTTTAGGGTCTAGGGTTTAGGGTTTAAGGTCCGGGTTTTAGGGTTTAAGCTTGATTCACTTTCTTCAGACTGATGGAAACGCCAAAGCAGCCGTACTTTAAGACCACGCGCCTTTCCAAGCCTCTATCCTGAATACGATAATGAATACGGATGCCCATATAGTCCACAAGACCCTAAGCCCCCAAACCCAGAACCTGGATAAACAGACAGAAGGTACGAAGCTCTGCCCTCTAAACCTCAGCACAGCAGGATGGAGGAGGCAAAGTTCTACGAGTCCCTGGGGATCAGCGAGGTGCTCCCCTGCCCTTATGTGAGCTAGAGCTATAGTCTAAACTCCCAGTACCCCCTTTAATAACCCGTAGAATACTCCCCCCATATCATCCCCTATATACCCCCTTTTAAAGAGTTTAGATCATGGCTCATCTGGTTAATAATCTGGCGGCCTAAATTTATCCTAAGCGTCCGCTGCTGTAGAATCATAATAGGTTTAGGGTTTAGAGTGGGTTATGTAGGGATAATGGAAAAGACAATGGAGACTACTATTTAAGGCTTATTATTTAGGGAATTCTCAATGATGGAGAATCAAGAGGAAAAGAAATTGAAAGTCACATGGACAGAGGGGGATTATGGGGCCTAACTCAGGATGTATAACCCGAATAATGGAGAATCAAACGGAAAAGTAGATGGAAAAGAAAATGGAAATTACTACATACCTAGGATATGTATATATATATATATATCTATCTCTATATATATATATATATATAGACGAGTCTGTTTCACAACGTGATTAGCCGTGCAAAAGCGCGATTTTCATGCAGATTCGGGGTGTCCAAGTCAAGTGCTGTGGGTTGTCATTGGTATATGGGACTGTTAGGGTTTAGGGTGTAGGAGACTATAGTGTAAACTCCTTAAAGGGGGTTACATAGGGTTTAGGGTTTGGGGTGTAAGCTCCTTAAAGGGGGATTATATACGGGACTGCCGCAGGGGGTATTAAGGGTGAGTTGAGCCTACGGCTCATATGGGACTGCATCAACTACCTGAGACAAACGCGAGGTTTGGATGGGCTATACAGGGACTGCATTAAACCGCAATGTTGTGGCAAACGCCTCATGTTCAAAATGCTGGTGGACAGAGGCATGCCCGTCAGTTTGAATGCTCGACATGGAGTAGCACAACATGCCCCTCAACCCTTGTCCCTATAAAGCTCTACATACACTCAGTGTCCATTTGACCTTGATTCGCCGATATCCTAAAAATGTTCTTGAAAAGCTTATGCCATAAAAGTGGACTTTATGTGTATTTGCGCCAGAGCTAGGCACCTCATGTACCTCCAAAATTACCCGGCGATGTGCTTGTCACCAGTTCTGCACACTTTGACTTGATGGTGGTTAGTAGGAAAGAAGGGAACATGATCCCTATATCGTATATTCCCTTATTCCCCACTAACCCCTATATAACCTCAATATAACCCCAATATAACCCCAATATAACCCCAGTAAGTTGAGTCTTCAACCGACAGGCTCCTCAGTGGCCCTCCATCAGCACCTCGACTGAATCCGTATCCTGAGCTTGGATTTTTGCCTTGTGCCGCTGATTCGACATGGGAGTGGCATTCTCTAAAACGGCGACTTTGATACATAATTGTAAGCATGTCATTTTTGCAGCAATGCCTGCAAAGCTCACCTACTTCCCGAGCACTGAAGCCCTCCACCCTCAGCCCGAACCTGGTAAGGATGGGTGGGCAGTGAAGGGGAGTACAACATGATGGTCATGGACTTGCTCCTTGTCTTGCACTTGTTTTGTGAACTGGTATTTTCTATGGCCTTCTGGTATTGCTGGGAAGGTTCGGGTGATTACCCGACACCCGGAACCCTAAACCCTAACCCTATATACAGCTGTTTCCATTTTCTCTTCCATTATCCCCACATAACCCCTACATAATCCCTATGGCGGTTGAAGTTGACATGATGTTACCTATGAGCCACAGCCATCCTCGCTTGAGATGGGTGGAGGAAATGAAATTCAAGGAAAGTCAAGGCAGCGTTTCGGGGTTTAGGGGTTTAAAGGTTAGGGGTTGAGGGTGAGTTCCCACTAGATTTACTTCTTCAAAACATCCATGTTGACGCAGCAACATGTACCTTTGAGCATTTCCTGGCCATTTGTCGTCATGTATTTGTACATGTCAACGAAGATCGGAACCCTGCCTGAAGAGAGTGACCCCATTTGGGACCCGAGAGGACTAAACCAAATGGTAATAGTAATAGTAACCTCAACAGTAAAAGCAATAGTGATAGCGGTGATGGTAGTAGCAGTAGTTGCAGTAGCAACAGGAGCAGGAGGAGGAGGAGTAGTAGCAGTAGTAGTAGTCGT